GAGAGAGAGAGAGGGTGAGGGTGAGGGAGAGGGAGTGTGTGCATGTAAACTAGTCAGTGTGTGTGTAAGAGATAGTGAAGTGATGATGGTGGCAGATCTCAGGTATACCTGTCATTTAGGTGACAGGTGAAGTTTACATTTGTTAACAGCAGGTGATCATATGTGTGTGTGTGTGTGTGTGTGTGTGTGTGTGTGTCTCATGATTAGGTTTGAAAAGTTTGTTGAAATCTTTTATTTGCAATTTATGATGTTTTTTCTCCAGAAATTGCCTTAATTAAGTGTAAAAACAGACACCCATGTCCATTGCACCTGTGTCTGTTTTGCCATAAGAAATAACTGACTCACAAAACGCACTCTGTAGTTCACGGCCAGGTGTGTGCATGTGTTTAGGAGTGTGCACGAGTGTGCCTCGCAGCTCTGTGTGTGCGTTTGTGCGTGTTTGCTGTTTGTTTAGGGTGTGTCCACGCTCGATACAGGGAGCTTGTTTTGGAGTGATGGATGTGTGACCCTGACTTAATAGTGTGCATTGCTCTAGGTTTTGAGAGCAGTCAAGGTTATGCTGTTATTATGAATCATTAATTCGTTGGAGGAGAGAAGGAGAGACATGTGGTGTTTGACTGTCCACACATGCTCTCATGCTGCTCTGGTCCTCCCACTGTTTGTTTTTCCTCAGTCTCATGTATGGGCCCGGCACCTGTTTTGCAGTATTAACTCAGCAAAGGCTTTTTGGTTTTTAGTCTGCATTGGTCCTCCTCTGATTCCAGTTGTAAGCCCAAGTTTGAACCTCCAGTAAGTGGAAATGCATGTCGGTGTACGAACATGACTCTGCTCTCACTGCTAAAAAGAGGGGAGGATGAAGTGAGGTGCATTTTCTCCTCTGTCGTAGTAATGCATGTCATCTGGGAGTTGTTGATTGTCTAATTATGTACCTCCTGTGTCCTTCGGCATCATGAATATTCATGCTGCTGTTTTAAGGTGTGGCGAAAACAAAGTATGCGTGTGTGTGTGTGTGTGTGTGTGTGTGTGTGTGTGTGTGGGCTATGTGTTGTGCGTGTGTTTAAGGCAGTTTACCCTTGACAGGGCAGGGCTACGCAGGCATATTCTCCCATCTGTGGTCCAAACCTTTGCTCCCAGCCACTGCATTTGGATTCTGCAGTTGTAGCCTGCTCTATTCTTAGTCCTCAACAGTCTAATATGAAATTTGAACAACAACAACATTCCCATGCCGGGCCTATATCGCTCGTGTCTCTGGCTATATACATTGGGATTCAATTTTGATTGAATAAGCCGCTGTTAAATGGTTAGACTCTGACTAAGGTAGCAAATCAATAACCAATCAATGATAGTGTGCGGAGTAACAATTTACACAGTGCCATATTTGAAATATCAAGAAGGCAATGAATCCATGTATCCTTGAGTCACATCTGAGTTGGACAACTGGGATCAATATCAGGTGGTGAGACAGGCAGCAGGAGCAGGCGAGGGTCACCTTCACCCATCCCTACTGAATCAGCAGTATCTCTCTTACACTCACACACACCTACACACACACACACACACTTGAAGGCCTGCTTAGGTTACCAAACTGCGACCTCACAAAAATGCTCATTATAGTGGACTGAACCAGCCCTCCATTTCCTTGTGAATAATTAATTCTGTTATTATGATTTCAGCCATCCTTTCATAAGGTTACAGCACTCTCCTCTGTGTTGATTCTACTATTTTATTCCATTTTACTTCCAGACTGGCACCGGTTCTATTTTCTGTATCACCATCTTTTTAATTTCCCTAATTTCTTTCCCCATTTTCTTATCCATCATCTTTGTTGAGAAGCTGATCTGCTCTGTTTAATTAAACCGCTCTCTCTTCCTGATGAGAGCTCATCTCTGATCGCAGCGAGGGGTGTAATGCATCCTGGCAGATTGAGTAAGAGGACCTGTTGTTACAGTGGTATTCCTCAGAAGAGCAGAGTGTACACAACATGCCCCACTAATGCGCCCCCTGCCATGACCATGATCCTGTGACGTTAAAGATACCGTTTCCCCAAAGGGAACATCACTGAGCCTGTGTTATTCTGTCAGGTGTGTGTGTGGGCGGGTGGGTGTCACTCCAATGCTCAACAATGTTTTAATCTTAGACTAAGTACCTTTGTATGCAGTCAACACAAGAGCAGTTTTAATAAAATCATACACTGGCAAAGATTGTGGATTTATTGATGGCGTGCAGAGAACAAAGAATCTACTTTTCATTCCCTGTATTCTCATCAGCTTTTTCATGTATTGAGTTTGTACTGAGTGTGTAAGAGACACAACTGTTTCTGTGTGTGTGTGTGTGTATGTCACTGTGTATGACAGAGAGAGATATTTTGTGTTTTTTCAACCCACAAGCATTTAATCTTTTATTTTTAAATCTGCCACTGCTGTCTGTTTTGTGTTCAGCACTCGCGTGCCCTAGATTTGAAAGTGAGCGAGCATCAGGGAGCTTTAGTGCACCCCATGTTGCTTGCACAGTTTGGCGTAAATGTTCGGCGGGAGAGGTCAGGGCACAGATGTCAGATAAGACTGAGAAGTCAGAGCCGCAAAGACGCTCTTGTGCATTTTCCGTCTGCCTGCCACTCCACCAGTCTATTAGTTTAGATGAGTTTAAGGTCACTGGTTATTTAAGATGCCTTCCTTGTCTGACCTCCAACACCACCCATGGGAGGATGCTGTGGGAGCAGTGTGCTTCACTACAGGTGGAGAGATGAGCTTAGTGCTCAAGGTATTGGATGCGTTCATGCGAAGGGGTTTGTTTTCCTCACCTGTGCTGCACTTTACACTAAAAACCTCCTTTGCAACAAGAGGGCTGACATTAGTCCCGTTGATATGCAATTTCTGTTTTAATATTATTGGTAAAAAATGCTTGATAGTTTGATGATGTTAAGCTTATGGTTCCATAGTAAGCTAAATATCTTTGGGTTTTGCACTGCTGCTCAGGCAAGATGTCAAATTGGGGTTTATGGACATTTTTCAATATCTGATAGATTATAGAAAAAAAGATATTAATCAATAATACAAAATAACTGCGTCTGTGCTCATGAAGATTTCAGCAATAATTAGAAAATTTACATTTTAATTCAAAATGCATTATTTATTTGTAATTTATATTTGAAAGTAACATTGTTTTCATCTGCAATTATCAACAATTATCAATTATAATCTATTTATCTTTTGTGATCAAATGATTATTATCATTTCAATCGAACAGATATTAACATACAGTCAGCAAGACAGCAGTGACTAATAGTAAAAAACAAAACCCAAGGCAATATTTATAAGGACTGGTTAGTAGTGAGTAAGAGTAACAATAGATGGCAAACACACAAAAACATATAATTTGAATTAATTAAGGTCACTCTAAGTCAGTATAATAAATGCAAATGTCTAGTATGTAAGTCTAGACATACATACATATGTGTATATATAGATAAACCTACACACAGCTTCCCTAATTCAATGTATAATGATATTAATAAAGAAGACTAGCAAATCTTCACAGTTTAGAAAAACAGAAAATATTTGGTAATTTTCCTTTATGAAAGACTTAAATGATCAATTATCAAAATAGTTAATGATAGATTTTCCGTGGATCAGCTAATCACCAATCATCTGAATAAATAGTTTCAGCTCTAGCCACCGGGTTAAGAATTGCTCTCTTAAAGTTTAACTTTGGATGTGCAGTTACAGTGCATGTGGTCACTAATAACTTTATTATGTAACCAGCAGTCATTCTGACTTTGGCCTGGCTTATGCAGACTTATAAAGAACCTTGAGCCTTTTCAGTGGTTCATTCACTGCGAGTGCTTGCAGAGAGACCAACAAATGTAGCCGTTAAGCATTCCCGTCACATTCTAGCTGACAAAACACACAGTCAGTCCATCAATATTCTCAGAAATTCACATTTAGAAAAGACAACTATTCACTGCCTTGAACTTTCAGTGGGCATGCATAAAATACCAAATAAGCTTACATAAATGCATTGAGCATTCTAGCTGAGCTAATTGAACAGGCTAATTTCATTATCCTAGACTTCATTTAGAGCGGAAACAAAATGTGGACAACAGAGCGAGCATGGCTCCACCAAGTCAAACCAACAGAAGCTTTTATGAGCTGAACTGACTCATGTAGTGCAGAGAAGCTGCTCAGTGAAATTAACATTTAGAATCGGACAGACTGAGAGCACCAGAGTTAAATTAAAGTAAAAGTTTCTTGCCTTTGCAGAAGTTGAACAAACTCTGTCGTGGTCAAAGCCGATTATGTCAAGACAGCGATCTACCAGCTGAGATACGGCTTTGATGGGGATGAGGGCCGGCATCTAGATAGACATCAGGAACACGGGAGAATCACAAGAGCTGACAGTCACTACTTTCACCATAAAGCCTCAGTAATGTTATTGATACAGGGGGAATATTAGAATAGGTGTTGAGCTGCCAAAATCAAGGTGAAAGTCACAGACGAGTTGTGTGTGGTTGATGAATTGTAGATGATGATGATGATGAAGTGC